GAAGAGGATCTGAGAACCACCGTCACCGAGCCGCCTCTGCTCCGATTTTTCGTCGTGGTGAGCATCTCCGTACTCTCCCCTCTCCTCCCATGCTTTTTGTTTCTCGTTTCTTGGCTTCTCGAGCCCTGGCCGCGAGCTCCGCGAGCCGTGGTCGCCGGCCATGGCGGCCACCGCGCTAGCCGCCGTTCCCGGCCGCCGTAACGGCATGGCCGCGACCCCCTTCCACCCCCGCGCTCACCGATGCTCTCGGATCTCCGTTTGGTGAACCCTAGCCCCTAACCGCGCGCGACCGAGACCTTCACACCGCCGGCAATGGCGCCTCACCGCCGGCATCACTGTGGCCGGCCGGATTTCCCCTCTCTCCCTCCCCAGGTCTAATCCGAACCGCTCGTTTCTGATCCAACGGCCGTGATCAGCCGATACCCCTTCGTGTGGCTGTTTTTCAAAAGAGTCCCTGGACTTTTCTAAGTCCTAACCCGCAGTCCAAGGCGTATTTCCCCGAATGCGCAATCCCATTTGGAAAGCGTAAACTCCACGGCTTAAGTTAAAAATACGTTTTCAGTATTTACAGAAATGCCATTTGAACTGTTTCGCTTATAAAATTGTCGTTTTAGCTCCGAATTGATCCATTCAAATCGCGTTAGCTTCGTAATTTCATAAGCTACATGTTGGAGCTACTATTAGTCAAGTTTGGAACTTTTTAATTTCATGATTAGATTTAATTAAATATATGGCTACAGGAAAACACGTTTAAATCATAATTTTCGCATTTTAGCTCCGTTTTTCGTGAACTTCGCGTTGACGTGATCGTAGCGAGACGTAGATTAGTTTTACAAATATTTTATCCTGATTTCAATACTGTTGGTGTACTGTTCTAATGATAGGAATGTTTGCTTTGCATGAATGCTTTTGGAATGTTGTATGTTGCTGTGTTGGTCGCGTTCAGACGGTGAGGAAAACGTTGGAGACCAAGAACTCTTCGACGACCAGCAGGACCAGCATGAGTTTGTGAACCAAGGCAAGTATAGCATGGGCCTTCCTTGATGTCCTATTTCACTTTAATCAATTACTCATTTGCATGTGTCTAATTTTAATACCCGTAAGGACAACCTAGTGATTGTTTATCCTGTTCCTTGTCTCCTATGGGTTAAATGCATATGGGTAGATTGCTAGTGCTCTAACTGAATTTGATATCCATGTTCATGAATGATACTATGGAACAAAGTGAGTAACAAGATTTATAACAACTGTTCCATAGGGCGAAAGTGCAAATGACCTTTGTTCATGTTGCTCCCGGCCCTCCATAAGGACTTATCTGTCGGCAAAAGCTGGGACTGACAGTGCAACCGGGAGAGTCATATGGCTCTGACTTTAGCTCAGTAATAGGATCTTTCCTAGCTAGTTAGAGGTTACCTTTTTGGTGCAAATGGGGCTTGCCACGTTGGGTATAGGGCTGCCTCTGTTCCTATGAGTATAGCCGCGATGGATATGTGTCATAGGAAAGGGGGGTTCCTACATCTGCCTGCCAAGGAAACCTAGCGGCCCTAACTTGTTAGGGAAACCTATGAAATGGCTTCATAGTGTACCCTGCCCGCTCACCTTGGTAGTGACATGGGAGTAATTAACCCGGGCATATGGGGATCACGACTCGCGGTGAATGTGCACCACCTCTGCAGAGGGTAACAAACTGTTATAACAGCCGTGCTCACGGTTACGAGCGGCCCGGAAAACTCACAGAATAACTGGTTACTTGTTGATGATCATTTAAAGTTGTTCAATGATGATATATGGTACACTTGACCCCGATATATGTTCTTATGGGAATTAAATGGGAGCTTAAGCATAACTTGATAATACTTGAGAATAAAAGCTTGACCTATTAAAAATGCTAACTGCAGTAAACCAGAGTCTATCCTTTTTGAGCTTCATAACCCCATGTTAGCTTGCTAAGTATGGAATGTACTTACACTTGTTTATTTTCTTTACTTGGATAAAAATCCTGGATGGGTAACAGATGACAACGGGTATGAGGATTTCCCGGAGGATTATTAGGCTTGTGGTCAACCAGTTGACCTTCCCTGTGATGACGCCCACGAGAGTTTTATTATCTTTTTATTCTTCCGCTGTGATGTCTAAGACTAAGTTTTATTATAACTCTGATGTATGAGACACCGTGATGGTACTTTATGTAATTTGTCAGCTTGTGTGTGTGATTGATTCCTGGGCACACACGAATTTTGTGCATTCAATTTTATCCTTAAAATTGGGTGTGACACTACCTATCTTACCATTTCATCATTTCAGTTTAATCCCTTAATATTTTGTCACGCTTTCTGTTTTATTCAGGTGAGGTCTGCCGCAGAAAGACAAAGGTAATTTTGATTTCTAAGCTTTCCTTTCTGCATGCTGTGGATAAGTTATGAAATGAAGAAAACATAACAAATTTAAGTATGGACACGACCATTTCATGATTCGTGGAGTTAGAACCTGCTGTTTTAGTGATAAGGAAATTTTAATATGGACACGATCATCTAATCATTTCATCATTACTGCCTTTGCCTTGCAGTCTTTTGTAGCTGTCATGATAGTTCACATATCCATATTGCAGCTACATAGTTAAAACATCTTTGTGTTGCGCTTTTTCCTTTGCATTGCCTTTGCTTGTGATGGACCTGCATATTTTTTGGTTGGCCCTGCCTGTGATTAAATGTAGCTTATATCTACATTAAACTCCTAATATTGTTTCCATATAAAGATTAAACATGTTTTTTAGTTGCGCCTTAACCAGGTGATTTGCCGGCGCGTGCGAGGGCGCACGTAATGGACTAGTATACTATTAGTCCTGATAAGTTATATGCTATTCCCATCAGTCTCTTTTATAAGGCATAAACATATATGAAAAATTAAACTTTAAAACTCTTTAACAATAATTTGACTAATACTTTTTAATTATTATATTACAAATTTGATATATTTAGATTTGCAATTAAATATAGTATCCAATTATCATAAGTTTATAAGTATAAACAATATAATGTAAAAATAAATAAATAATCAAATTGTAATTTGGTAGACCTTGGTATGTTCGACCGCACCTTATAAAAAGTGGTAATGCTACGTGTCTTACATTCGACGCGAGCACAAATCATCGGACACTCCCACAGGTCTACCGCCTCGTTGCTTGCGCTTTACCCTACCGCTCGTTCTCCCTGCGAGTTTATTGAAAAAAAATCACCCATCAATATCCCTTCCGCTTCCTCCTCAACTGCCACAGTGCCTTGCGGCTGCCCCGTCCTGAGTGTGGACGTGCAATCCCCTCATTGCTGCCACACACCCCATCCATCACTGCTCACTTGCCCCCGTTGCACGCTGGTGCTGGTGGTGCTCGCTCCGCCCGTCACACGCGCCGCCCGCCTGCCCGAGCCAAGCCCTTGTTGGTGGCACTGGTGGCGGTGGTGCTCGCACGCGTCGCTGTTGCTAGATGCTAGTGGTGCTTGCGCGCTGCCGCTTGCCACAGGCTCCCACCCCGACGTCGGAATCGATCGGCATAGGTGCTCCCCCTCCGCTATGTTCCAAATATATGTTTCTAGACATTTCCGAGGTATGTTAAAGTTGTTTCATATATATGTTGCAAAAGCATATCAAGGCAGACGGGCGGATTGCAAGCGAGTCTTGTACGAACACGACGACGGCGATGCATATGCGGGCATGGCAAATTAGTGGACGGAGTGCAGGCTGTGCAGACGCACGCAGGAAACAGCCGTCTAAAGGAATCCTATCCGGTCAGCATGTTCCTATAAAAACAGAACGGAGGAAGTAATAGCTAGCTAAGAAGTTGACTAAAACTAACTCATTATTTATTAGCTTTCTTATTTATTAGGCCCTTCTGAATTCTCTGGATTAGAATCTGGATCGAGGAAAAAATGATATAATCGTGTCTCATCCAAATGGACTAGATTTTAGAGAGATTTTAACTCACAGCTTTTTAAGGGCATGTTCGCTTGTCTGAATTCTGGAGGAATTTGGATGGTTTGGAGGAATGCTGAAGAAATTTGTGAGAGAAAAATACTGTTCCGGATGAAAAAATAAGTGGATCAAGCCGGCCGGGTTTAAGGGCATACGAACGGGGACTAAATCTTGAAATCTAATAAAACTTTTGGGATTTTTTTAATCTAAATTTTTAGAATTGCTTGGAACTCAAACGACACCTTTGATAGACAAGAGCTAATTTTCACTCCTAGCTTCTACTTGTGATTAGCCCGGACAGGCAAAGCTAAAGTAGAGTTGGTAATTTAACGCGAGCCTAAGGATGTTGTCAATAGTTTCCAAATAGCTAGTTTAGGAAGAATTATATTGGTTATCAAGGAGAGATCAAGTAGCTAGTAACTTTCACATAGCTAGTCTAGCACGATCTCTGAGAAATAACTCTCCCACAGCTCTAGGAAGAATTATATTGGTTATCAGGAAGAACAGTCTAGTACGATCTCCTAAAAATAACTCTCTCACGGCTCAAATAAGTCTCTACTATAATTTTTTTTAAGGGTGCGTTTAGTTTCGAAAATTTTTGACTTTTGACTACTGTAGCACTTTCGTTTGTATTTGACAAAAATTGTCCAATTATGGACTATTTAGGCTTAAAAGATTTGTCTCGCCAATTACATGCCAACTGTGTAATTAATTATTCTTTTTACCTACATTTAATACTCTATGCATGTGCTGCAAAATTTGATGTGACAAAAAATCTTAAAAAATTTTAGTTTTTGGGTGGGATCTAAAATGGACCTAAGTCTAATCTAGCTAAAGTTGCCGCTGACAGGAAGAAACACCAGAATTCGAAGAACCGCCGTTGTAATCACCGTGGTTATAAAGGCAGCCTGCAAGCCCGGAAGAAGACCCCTCCTCTCCCTCTCCCTTCTGCACTTTCTCGCAACCCACGCCGCGTCCCTTCCCGTTGGTAGTCCAGTGGAAGTGGAACCGTCAAAATGTCGTCGTCCTCGGCGATGCCGCCGCCGGCGTCGCCGCGGGAGCACATGGAGAGGATCCGGCGGGAGCGCTACTACATCGGGCGCGGCGAGCAGAACCCACTGACGGAGGACATGCACCAGGCCGTCAACTACCTCTCTCAGGAGCTCTACTCCAAGGACGTGCACTTCCTCATGGAGCTCGTGCAGGTAATCGATCGGCCGGTGTAATCTCCTTTCGACGTTTCTCTTGCTGTCGCTGTTCTTGTGTGAGCGGAAACTTAGTTCAGGGCCTTGAGGCTACTATGCTCTACAGTTTCTGCAATTGGCTAATTGATGTGCGCATACTAGCTGTGAACCGCTGTGTGAGTTGCCCTTTCTGTGTGCCTTTGTGTTCCATCAGATTATTTCTGTTTAATTTTGTAACACCTTAAAATTTTGCACTTTTGAAAATAGAGTTAAAATAATGGTTATCAGTTTTTGTGCTCATGAAATATAGGAAAAGTAATATTTTTTTTAAAAGTAAAATTCATCATAGGAGTAGCAACATGCGGAATTGTGCATTCATGCTGGTTGCATTTGGTATTTATGAGTGCAAATAGTTTTGAAATATGATAGAGTGATGTTTCTTTCTCTCCGGAAAATTTTCTAACCTTTTTTGGAATTAAATTCTTTTTTCCTTGGGCTTAATATTTTATCTTGATCTTTGCAACAATATTTTCGTGAGCTCTAAAAACTTTATTTGTGTTCATTATGTTCAAAAGTGTATTCGAGAATTTTCCTAGAATTTTTAGAGCCATCGGAGTATTTTTCGTGGGCTAAAAATCAATTATGGATTTTTCTGGAATTATCTTAATCCCGGAATTAATTAAATCCGAAAATAATAAAATATCTTGTTTTTCCACCGACCTCAAAACCCTACACTATATATATACCGGTGTTCCTCTCGACGCGAGCTTTCCAGAAGTACAGCCCGTTTTTCGAGCCACCACTCGTAGCCCCGCAGATCGGACGCCGAAGTTCTCCACAGCTAGGTTTCCGGTGAACCTTCGGCGAGCTTTTCCGGCCACCTCGGACGTCTCCGGCGAAAATCGTCACCACCACGTGGTAGATCTCGTCGTTCTCTACGCCGTCTTGCCATTCTTTTCGCGAATCCATCACTGTTTCATCGTTTCCCTAACCTTTCTCCCTCTTTTCCGACGAGGTCATCCATGGACCGCTTCCACCTTCCTCCGTTTCGGGCCACCTCGTCCATGGTCGCGATCACCACCACGTCACCACGCCTCTGCAGATCCTCAGCCCCGTCGGACCAGCCTTCCCCGCCTGGCCTCCCTCTCGTCGCGTCTCCTGCGCGCGGTGGCAGGGTACTGCTCGGGCAGGCCCGTGCACGCCGGCACAGCCAGAGCCGCGGGCTCTAGCCCAGCCCCTCAGCCTAGGGCCCACGTGGACTGGCGCTGCCGTCCGGCCGTCCGGCAGAGACGCCTGGGCCGAGGCCCTCCCTTGCGTGCATAGTGTGCAGCTCCTCCAGGGCCACGGTGGCCATGTTCTGTACGTGAAGATCACAAGGAAGAAGATGACCATATTTACGGTATTGCCACCGGTTCGTTAAATCTCTGTAGTTTCTTCGTTTTAATTCCGTTTCAGTTCGTTCCAGTTGCGTTAGTTTCGTGTCATGGAGGTCTACACAGTAGCGCTATTAGTTTTCATATCACATAATTATGAATTTATTTTATTAAAATATTAATTATGCCTATAATTAATTAATCGCTGATTAATTAAAGTCGATTTAGGTTTTCGATTTCGATTCGATTGCGCGAGTTTCATCGCAGTGAGAGATACATGTTAGTAGCGATGTTTAACATGTCTCACATCTTGGAAATTTATAAGTTAAATATTAATTTGATTAATCAGTAACTTCAGTATAGTCTTAGATTATAATTAGTTGAATGTTGCATATGTGTTAAGTATGAACAGATGCCCTCACATGATTTATGTTTTTAATTTATAGATGTTTAAATGACTAAAAGTATATATATAATCTTTTATAATTATAAAATATGACGTATGCCAACATTAATGCCTTTTTAATTATGACTTGCTTAGATCAATTATGAGACATAATATAATTGTTCTATTAGTTGCTCTCACATGTTCTATATTTCTAAAGTCAAGTTTAAATACTTTATATAATATGAGATATGTTGATTAATAAAATATGATTAATTAGTGACATAAACATGTATGTCTTTAAATTGTAATCTGTCAAGTTTAAATGTGACATATATACTTTGAATATATATACTCTCATTTGTTATTATATTTCAATTTAATTTGCATAAATGATATCAAAATATTTATAATTAAGATATGATTAATTTATCTTAGTTTTCTAAATCTAATAACTCAAGTATAAAATGACTTAACTCAATTTTAGATATTCCCCTGAGATATCTTATACATGTTTTATGATCATTAAAATAGATAAAGCATATAGTTTTCTTTCCAACGTAAATCCTTCGATAGATGTTTCTGTTTTACCGTAGCTCCGATTAGTGTGCCTTTCGCGTGTGTGATCGTAGCAATGTGTAGATTAGATTTCGAATCTTTTCATTGATTGGTGTATTGTTCTAATCTAGTATGTTTGCTATGCATGCTTGTTCGGGTGCTTGTGTGGTGCTTTTCGGTCTTGTCCAGTCGGTGAGTTTTGCGTTGGTGATCTATAAGAAGTTGGAGATCAAGAAGAAGAAGAAGAAAACGTTGAAGATTAAAGCTTACCGAAGGATCGGTGTTTAAGGCAAGTATAGCTTGGATTTTCTTTCTGTGACCATGATCTTGAAACTTGATTAATGAATATGCTATAAACATAAACAAGATGACTTTTTAGCAACATAAGGACTTGTCTTGTAACTGATCATCCGGGACTTACAGTACAACTGTGAGGGCTATATGGCTCTGGCTTTAGCTCAGTATGAGGTCTTTTTCTAGCCGGCTTAGAGGATACTGCGAGTTGGGTATAGGACAGCCTCTATCCTGTTGAGCCTAGCTATGGAAGCGGCCTTTCATTTTTTTGGAAGGGGGGTTCCTATATCCGATGACCCTGCGGCCCTTCCCGGTTAGACGGAACCTTTGAAAGGCTTCATAGTGAACCCTGCCGGCCTTCCATGGTAGAGGGTTAAGAGGCTCGCGACCTCGGGCGAAAGGGCAATTCACGACTCACAGTGAAAGTGTACACCTCTGCGCAGAGTTTAATAAACCGGTATACTAGCCGTGCTCACGGATACGAGCGGCCTTGGAACATTTACATAAGGGATGATGACTTTTACTTGTTAAGATGATCATTTATGTTAATTGTTTAAGATATTTATTATTCAATTAAACTTGATCATGTGGTTATGGATTAGAATACCTTGTTGCTATATTTGTTGAGTTCGACATGGACTCACTCTTGCAATTTCCACCACACCTCAGGACGAAGTTCAGATTGCTAGTTTTCAAAGGAGTTAGGCTTGTGATCAACCAGTCAATTTGGATCCAGTGGAGTGGAGTCTACACCCGGAGATCGGAGTTGTCTATCCGTTGATTGTTCCTAAGGTTATATCTTTTATACTATGTACATTATGTTATTAAGCATTGTTATTTGATAACACCCATCAATTGTAGCTTTATGTGAGATTTGTTTCTAAAGACTCACATATGGTGTGCATCAGGTTTTGTCCTTAAAACCGGGTGTTACAAATTTGGTGTCAACAGCCAAAGAATAACTACTCTATATGTGTGTATGCATTTGGGTACCGATTTAGCATAATTCTTTTATTTGTTAGCATAATTTGTCAGCCCTCCTTTTCAGTATTGTGAGTTTATATAATTATCATAGTTAAGCCGTTGCTCTTGTTATTTTTTCCTACATAAGTTTTCCACGTGGTCAGTAATTATTGTCGAATTTAAAAAGACATGTAGTTGTCATAATCCTTTTCTTCAATGATGAATAGCAGAACTAACTGGTAAAACAAAAAGTTCATCTTCTTGTGTGTCCTCTGTATTTATTTGATTCCTCTTAACTTGTGAAGCGAACAAAAACACTAATCCTTTTTTTTAGAATAAAAACACTAATCCTTGGAAGTTAGGCAATGTCTGTGGCCACCTTATTTATATCAGTTTGCAGGTGTGTTTGTGCTTAAATCTTAATACTTCTTCTCATACTTTGCTTTCTTTCTCAAAAAATAGAACGCTGAAGATAATGAATACCCTTCTGAAGTAGCACCTTCTTTGGAGTTCCTCATTACATCAAAGGATATTACTGGATGTGGTGCATCCTCAACTTTGCTCATCTTCAACAATGAGAGGGGTTTCTCTGCAACCAATATAGAGTCAATTTGTCGTGTTGGGAAATCAACAAAGAAGGGAAACAGACATCAGGGTTACATTGGAGAGAAAGGTAAATATTCACAGTTTTTTTCATTCATTTTGTTTCCTAAATCACCATTCAGAAAAAGAAATATTCATCCACGGAGATAAAATTAGTTAGGACATTTTGAGTCAATTTCAGGCAAATGATAGCAGTAAAAGATCATACAATATTTGAATTTTGAATGACTAAAACTATGTTCAGTACTTAATATGATGCTGATCAATTATATCATGGGAAAACATTCTGTGGAATCGTGGAAACCACTTGAAAAATATATTTAGAAGTTTTTTAAAAAAATGACACTTGGCCCCTCCATATTGCATCCGATTTGTAGAAAAGTTGAGTTCATACAAAAATCTAGGTGCATTTGCACTAGAACACGAACGGACTTGCATCTCAACTTTTAAGACATGTCCGATATATGAATTTACTATGGACGCGCCAAGTTTTGAACTTATGGTAATTTCTACCAATAAGGTGGTTTCGACCAATTAATCATAAATCACGCCATTTAAAACAATATTGCATGAAAGCTATGTCTTTTCTAATTTCTTTTTTGGTTGCCATGTCTTACAGTGGTAGAGACCTCATTGTGGTACAAGAGTGTATGCTCATATTATGCATTAAAATAAATATTGTAATTGTTTTTAGACAAAATTTTGTAATCCTATCTAACTAAAGTAAGGCCTTTAAGACAATTATTTTAATACACAACTACACATGTTATGTTTTGAGATGCTAGCATTAGCATTCATAAACTAAACACTTGGGATGGATTACTTTAGTCAAATTGATAAACATATTTTTAGATGAATTAAACAATAGTTATGCTAGTATTATGCATTTAAATTTAAATGACTGTGAGCTGTTTATTTAATTAGATTAGATCATTAGGATCATCCATTATTTCCTAGGAGGTAATAGGTAAAATATATATTTATTTAATTTTATCTTTTATAAAATAGGTAAGGTTTAGATATAAAAAACCTTCTAGATCTAATTGATGCATGCATGATCTATTGGATGTGGTATATCTTTTTATTTTGCAACTTTGGACATGACACAATTTGATTAGGATAAACTGGAAAAGATATAAGTATGTAATTACGAATGTAGATATATATGCAAGAGATATACGTAGCCATTTAAAATATATGTGGTATATAATTATGCACGTAGATATATAAATATGCCATAGAATTAGATACATGTTAGGCCATACGGCACTGCTCCTGAGATTAGGGGATTAGGGATTTTTGTTTCCTTTTTATGCACCAACTGATAGGTGGCGTGCCCCCAGATCCGGAGCCACGCTGTCTAAGGGAGTGACAACGGGTGGCGGCGAAGGAGGCGAGCGTCACCGGGAGGAGGCTAGCAGCCTGTGCGATTGGGAGGGGGGTGTGCCACGGCCACGACCGGGAGGAGGCTAACGGTGGGCAACAGTTGGTGGGTGACGAGCGTGGCCAAAAGGAGGCGGGCGCGAGCGGAAGCAGAGGTGGCGGGCGACGAGCGCTAGGAGAGTTGTGTGCGTGCGACTTGAATTGGGAGGAGGCAGAAGGATAAGGTTGGAGTGGGTAAGATGGGCTGGACTCTTTGATGTGCCTTATTTCCAATCTAATCACATTGTTCCGCTTTATTCTTTTCTTTTAGATATAATATATGTATTTGTACAAAACACCTTAAAACGGTTAGGCGATAGGAAGAGGGTCACTGCCTAGAGAGCGCCTAACGCCTAATGTAACCTTGCTCAAATTTGTTTCATCTGATGTCAAATCTTTGTAGCATTTTTTTTTTCATTATCTGTTTACCTACTACAACCAATTCACTGCAAAGGATTACATAACGTACTGCATATCTGGTTACTATTTGTGCCTAGTTTCAACTAATTTTTTGTTGCCTCTGATTCAGGTATTGGGTTCAAAAGTGTGTTCTTGATATCAAATCAGCCCCACATATTCAGCAACGGCTATCAGATCAAGTTCAATGAGAAACCTTGTGCAGAATGCAATATTGTGTACATTGTACCTCAGTGGGTGGAATCCACACCTAGCCTTTCCGATATCGAAGCATTATATGGGTGCTCAAAGATCCTACCTACAACTATCATCATCTTACCATTGAAGAGTGAGAAGATTGATGCGGTGAAGAGGCAGCTGTCAAGCATGCATCCTGAAATGCTACTGTTCCTGACAAAGATCAGGAAACTCTCTGTCCGGGAGGATAACTCTGATCCCAGCAATACAACTGTTAGTGAGATTCCGATATCCAGTGAAAAGAACTACCAAGCCAGGAAGAACATGCATGCTGAGTCGTACACACTCCATTTATCTGCTGAAGAGACCGGGAAAGATGAAGCTGAATGTGGTTATTATATGTGGAGGCAGAAATTCCCAGTAAAGCCAGAGAACAGAGTCGATAAGCGTGCTGAAATTGATGAATGGGTGATAACCCTGGCCTTCCCACATGGCGAGCGTCTGTCCCGTGGGAAGCAGCTATCACCTGGCATCTATGCTTTCCTCCCAACTGAGATGGTAACAAGCTTCCCCTTCATCATTCAGGCTGACTTCCTCCTTGCTTCGTCAAGGGAGGCTATACTGTTTGACAGTCCATGGAACAAGGGAATTTTAGAGTGTGTCCCAAGCGCTTTCATGGATGCTTTTGTCACACTCATAAAGTCTGGAGCTGATGCATCACCATCAATGTCTCTGCCATCTATGTTCAACTTTCTACCTGTCAATTCTTCACAGATCCCACTGCTTGAGACAGTTAGGTCTGGCATCAAAGACAAGGTCCTTGCGGAGGCTATAGTTCTGTGTCAGTCTTATGCTTCACAGAAGATATTCTGCAAGCCCAGTGAAGTTGCACGGCTCAAGCCAGCCTTTTGGACTATCCTTGACAAAGCATGGAAACTCGGAGTGGATCTGAAGAATCTGTTGACCCATGGAACCTATATTCTTAGCTCTCATTTTGACAAGATTATCTATGTGTAACATCCTAAAATTTGCATTCTTTTAAAATTAGTAAATATGATTTATTTAAGCAAATGTGTGTGCATTAAAAGTCAGGGAAATAATAAATTTTGTGGAATTAAAATAAAAAAAATAAGTTTAGAAACTTTTTGATGCATACATGCTGCTGCATATCATTTTGTGAATACTTGGAATTTGTTAAAGATTTCAAAAAGAATTGAAATTTGAATTTAAAAAGGGTTTTGGAAAATAGAAGAAATAGAAAAGAAAAGAATCCTTTTTCTTCCCCATTCATGAATTCGGCCCGCTGGCCCCTCTCCCCTTTCCCCGCTCGGCCCGGCACCGCAGCCTAGCCCAGCTCTCCCCTTTCCCCGCCAACCGCAGCCCAGCCCAGCTCTCCCCTTTCCCCGCCAACCGCCAGCCCAGCCTCGCGCGCCAGCCCAGCAGCCACGCCAGCCCAGCATCGCGCCAGGCAACCGCCCACGCTCCCCCGTGCCCTGCCGCTGACGCCCGGGCCCCGCTTGTCGGCGCCGTCTTCATCCCCGCGCGCCTTAGAACCGCCCGCGTCCGGCCTGGCCGCAACTGCCTCCCACGATTGGTGTCGTGGGAGCGGCCCCCCCCCTCGCGCCCCGGCCACTTTAAATCGGCACCGAGCCCGTCTCCGCCCCTCCCTACTGCCTCCACACCCCATTTTTCCGTTCACCCGTGCGCGACGAAGCTACAACCGCCGCCCCGAGGTCTCCGAGCTCCGCCGTCCGCCTCTGCGCGAACCACCGTCACTGAGCCGCCTCCGCTCCGATTTTTCACCGTGGTGAGCATCTCCGTACTCTCCCCTCTCCTCCCATGCTTTTCGTTTCTCGTTTCTTGACTTCTCGAGCCCTAGCCGCGAGCTCCGCGAGCCGTGGTCGCCGGCCATGGCGGCCACCGCGCTAGCCGCCGTTCCCGGCCGCCGTAACGGCATGGCCGCGACCCCCTTCCTCCCCCGCGCTCACCGGTGCTCTCGGATCTCCGTTTGGTGAACCCTAGCCCCTAACCACGCGCGACCGAGACCTTCACGCCGCCGGCAATGGCGCCTCACCGCCGGCGTCACTGTGGCTGGCCGGATTTCCCCTCTCTCCCTCCCCAGGTCTAATCCGAACCGCTCGTTTCTGATCCGACGGCCGTGATCAGCCGATACCCCTTCGCGTGGCTGTTTTTCAAAAGAGTCCCTGGACTTTTCTAAGTCCTAACCCGCAGTCCAAGGCGTATTTCCCCGAATGCGCAATCCCGTTTGGAAAGCGTAAACTCCACGGCTTAAGTCAAAAATACGTTTTCAATATTTACAGAAATGCCATTTGAACTGTTTCGCTTATAAAATTGTCGTTTTAGCTCTGAATTGATCCATTCAAATCGCGTTAGCTTCGTAATTTCAGAAGCTACATGTTGGAGCTACTGTTAGTCGAGTTTGAAACATTTTAATTTCATTATTAGATTTAATTAAATATATGGCTATAGGAAAACCCGTTTAAATCATAACTTTCGCATTTTAGCTCCGTTTTTCGTGAACTTCGCGTTGACGTGATCGTAGCGAGACGTAGATTAGTTTTACAAACATTTTATCTTGATTTCAATACTGTTGGTGTACTGTTCTAATGATAGGAATGTTTGCTTTGCATGAATGCTTTTGGAATGTTGTATGTTGCTGTGTTGGTCGCGTTCAGACGGTGAGGAAAACATTGGAGACCAAGAACTCTTCGACGACCAGCAGGACCAGCACGAGTTTGTGAACCAAGGCAAGTATAGCATGGGCCTTCCTTGATGTCCTATTTCACTTTAATCAATTACTCATTTGCATGTGTCTAATTTTGATACCCGTAAGGACAACCTAGTGATTGTTTATCCTGTTCCTTGTCTCCTATGGGTTAAATGCATATGGGTAGATTGCTAGAGCTCTAACTGAAATTGATATACATGTTGATGAATGATACTATAGAACAAAGTGAGTAACATGATTTATAACAACTGTTCCATAGGGAGAAAGTGCAAATGACCTTTGTTCATGTTGCTCCCGGCCCTCCATAAGGACTTATCTGTCGGCAAAAGCTGGGACTGACAGTGCAACTGGGAGAGTCATATGGCTCTGACTTTAGCTCTGTAATAGGATCTTTCCTAGCTAGTTAGAGGTTACCTTTTTGGCGCAAATGGGGCTTGCCACTTTGGATATAGGGCTGCCTCTGTTGCTATGAGTATAGCCGCGATGGATATGTGCCATAGGAAAGGGGAGTTCCTACATCTGCCTGCCAAGGAAACCTAGCGGCCCTAACTTGTTAGGGAAACCTATGAAATGGCTTCATAGTGTACCCTGCCCGCTCACCTTGGTAGTGACATGGGAGTAATTAACCCGGGCATATGGGGATCACGACTCGCGGTGAATGTGCACCACCTCTGCAGAGGGTAACAAACTGTTATAACAGCCGTGCTCACGGTCACGAGCGGCCCGGAAAACTCACAGAATAACTGGTTACTTGTTGATCATTTCAAGTTGTTCAATGATGATATATGGTACACTTGACCCCGATATATGTTCTTATGGGAATTAAATGGGAGCTTAAGCATAACTTGTTAATACCTGAGAATAAAAGCTTGACTTACTAAAAATGCTAACTGCAGTAAACCAATGTCAACCTTTTGAGCTTCATAACCCCATGTTAGCTTGTTAAGTACAGGATGTACTTACACTTGTTTATTTTCTTTACTTGGATAAAAATCCCGGATGGGTAACAGATGACAACGGATATGAGGATTTCCCGGAGGATTATTAGGCTTGTGGTCAACCAGTTGACCTTCCCTGTGATGACGGCCACGAGAGTTTTATTATCTTTTTATTTTTCCGCTGTGATGTATAAGACTAAGTTTTATTATAACTCTGATGTATGAGACACCGTGATGATACTTTATGTAATTTGTCAGCTTGTGTGTGTGATTGATTCCTGAGCACACACGAGTTTTGTGCATTCAATTTTATCCTTAAAATTGGATGTGATAAATTGATATCAGAGCCGTGTTGACTGTAGGACGCAAGTCTAGTTAGAAAAAGGTCGTTTTAGCATCTTTGCTCCTCTGGTTTCTTGCTTACTGAGTTATTCTTGTTATTTTATTAAAACATTTATGCTTTTCATACCTTAATCTATTATTTAAAATTGTTGATTCTAATTCTATCTCACTTTAAATCTATAGATTTCTCATAATTCGAAGACTGCTCGCCTCAGCACCGCCGGCTATCGTGCCATGTTCACCCCGCGTGCCCCACCGGCGAAGAGGGAGATTGTGATCATCTCCGACGATGAGGAGATGGCTTCACCGACGCCTACACCTGCTCCTACACCAGTCGCCGTGCCCGTCTATCCTGTGGTAGCTACACCTGAGGAGTCGACGGCTACTTCCCCTACACCTGCACCCTCCCCAGCTGTCCCCGTGGAGGACGAGGAGATTGGCTGGAAGTGCAAGTACTACTTCAAGCCAGCTCCAGAGACAGCCTACTACCACACTCTCCTCACCTACATGCTGGACGACTACTTCCCCGAATTGCACGCCTCCATCAGCTACCACTGCGCCGAGTATCAGCATCCATTGGAGGCTACCTTCTGGAAGGTAGAGCTGGTGGTCACCGCTTGGAACGATATCAAGAATGGACATGAGGTGCAGACTGTCCACTGTGCCCCTGCTAGGAGAGCCCATGCTTTGGATGGCATGGAGGATGCAGCACAGAATGCCTACATCCACTACCATGGTCGTCGCTTTGAGGCCATGAGGGAGGATCGCTTCAGGTTCCTTCCTCGAAATGATCATGAGGGTGTTTGGCAGGTTTTGGCTCCACCAGAGAATGACCCAACTCTGGAGGCAACAGTGCAGCATGTCCACGCTATGCAGGGAGTGGATGATGAAGTCAAAGGAGAACTGCGTGCATCTCAGAGGGCGCAGAGACGTCTTCAGAAACAAGTGGATGAACTTCGAGCACAACTTGGACAGCCTTCCATCTACAAGAAGAAGCGCCGATCCTTCACCATGATTGACACCGCTCCATAGGTGTTAGGTGCCTTGATCTAGATTACCACGTCGTTAGCTCGTGTTCTTATTTAGTCTTGTTGGTCTTGTGAACTTGGTTGATTAGATGTTTAATTTGTGAACTTGGTTGATTTGGAATTTTGCTTGATTGCTGGAAGTTTGTGGGCATGTCCACAACTTCCTTAGATTGGAACTTTAAGTTTAGAATGAAATCTTAATGCAGATGTTTCGTTTTATCTTATCTCTGCTGTGCTGATTTCTGGAGCAGCCTGTGTTCTTTATCTGGTATCTCGAAATCTGGGATGATAAAAATTCTGAAATTTTTGTGGAGATAACTAGACCTCTGTATATTTCAAGTGTCTTTGGAATCACGTCAATAGCTGTTCAGGTTTGGGAGATCTAGCTGTCACAAGTTGATGTTCCTGCGCTGTCTGGAACTCAGAACAGTTTCGGTTTAGCTCTACTCTTGACTATGTGTGAGTCCGAATCTGTAAAAGTGGTCTAAATGAAAGTTGTAGGTGATGTCCTAAGCTTTCTAACGAATCTTGGTGCACCTCTGTTGGATCTCTGAAACTCGAGTTATAACAGTTTTACTGAACTGCTGAGTATGAATCTTGTCCAGAAAATTCTCAGCATTGTTTCTTATCTTTTGTAAGCTCTCTATAATTGGAAAAATCTCTAAATTTTGCACAATTGTTGGAAAATAGATGGCCGCAAGAGGAGGAAGAGGCAGAGGCCGTGGTCATGGGCGTGATGCTCTTATAAATCCACCACCGCCAACGGTGACCATGGAACAGATAT